TTCATAAATTGGTCATTGCACGCATCCTTTGCTTCAACATATTCACCCTCTTCCATTTCTTTCTAATATTTTTCCAATTTTCCGAACCCTCCTCACATTGATATCAGTGTGATATTCTCCTAAGCTGCCCAAGACTTAGCTCCACTGCTTCAGTTAAAACATTTATAAACAAAGAGAAGAAAACGTAAAGATGTATCCTTAGACCTCAAAGCTGAGAAGAAATTTATATGCATTTGAACAGTGATAGAGATTTTAGAATGTACCCTATGTGTCTTAGCATCTAGAGGACCATTGCCAGCTTTTGATTTTGAATTTGATTTAATAGCGTTGTTGCCATCATCTTCACCATTCTTGTGGCTGGCATCACTTTGTCTCCCGTCATCACTAACATCCATTTCCTCAGACAAAACCTTTGCAGAAGCTTTACTCTTGTAAATAGATGAAATTGGCAAACTGTCATCATCTGAATCTACTCTTTGGTGCTTCTTCTGTAGTCGGCGGCGACTACCTTTACTTTTGTTAACATGTGAAACTTCCTCTATAACCATCACACAAAAAAATGATAACCAAAGATCCAGAATTTCACAATCATCAATCGAGAGAATACAAGGGAAATAAAGAGATTAAAGGATATCATTCATAAATATCAGAAAATGTTGGGGGGGGGGGGAGAAGAAAATTAAAACAAAATGGTCTGATGCTTGGGTTTAAAAAAGACATTGCAATAAGCTAGATGCTTACAAACTGTTTTAGATGCTATAATTAATGTTCCTATTTACCAACAAAAACAAGATTATATAGACAGATACTCCATGGTTATCATTTCGGAGAAATCATTCATAAATACCTGCACATTACAAGTAAAACCCAACAAAAGTTTTTGAACGTCAATGGAAATAAGTAGAAACTAAGATAAACTAGAAGAGTCACCTGGCAATGCATGAATATATCTATATTATTTTAAGAAGCACACACTCTAAGAAAACACACAGATTCCATTTGAATTAATAAAGGCTAAAGGATAACAAGGTCAAATTTGGTACCATGATGGAAAGAGAAAGAGTGAAAAAATTGTAATTTGGCCCTAAAAAGAAAAGAAAAGTTTGTGTAATGTCTATTACACTCTTGCATTATTACATAATAATTTTATCTTTTGTGAACTCTCTTTAAAAGTAAGAACATGAAAGTCATTTCTCATATATAAAATCACATTACCATTCCATTTCATCCTAGATAACAAATAAACCCTTAAGGAATGGTGACTCTTGGTTTGTTTGAATATAATATTTTGATATATTGATAGGCACAAGCTCCATAGTTATGACAATTCATCAAGGGATTTAACTTTCAATAATAAAACATGCCTTCACTTGAAATACGTGATTCTGGGTAGACCTCTGGATTCGCATCATCATCAATAAAACTATCCTCATACTCATCTTCTCCGCTGCAATCAGATCTATCTGTCTCGGTGTTTGCAATATCTTCTCCATAGGATTCTCTTTTCAATGCAGATGCAGAAGTTAAGAAATGAAAGAAATCACAACCAAAAGGTCGGTGGTATCAGAAAAATGAAAAGAAATGACATTACTGCTCTATCTACTTCTTGCATGCCATCAAGTATATATGAAATCATGAAGAAAATAACAGAGGAAAATCAGTTGATCTCAGAAAACTTAAGCGCCTCATTATCAAATATTCTACTCTAGTTTCTTATTTAGTTTTGTTCAAAAAAACTCTTAGCAACAAAATTAAGGCAAGGATACGACTCCTCAATCGTATTGGTTCTTCGGCCACTACCAAGATAGTAACCACACAAGTGAATACTCCGAGGACCAATCACTGAAAAGATGACATCATCAACCTCCTCAAATTCCAAATTAAGTTGCAATGACTCATTCGTTCCAGAAGACAGAGAACATAGATAAACAGGGCTATTGTTGCCCACATTACACTGAAGTCTGCTTTTGGCTGGAACAGAGCCAACCCCCAAAGTGGCCTAAAAAAAATTGAAAGCTGATTAACAATCCAAAAAGGAGAACCTATACCAAAAAATGTCTTCAAGTAGCATATCAATAATGAGGAGCAGGAGAAGAAAAGCAGCAGCATGCATGCAAAAGTCAAAATCTCAAGCTACAGTTTACCACAAACTCTCCAAGATTTATATATAGATAATCACGAGTTCGGCTGAAGAAAATTACCATTGAAATATGGAGTCGTCCTTTCAAGTCATCAAATTTATGAGTGAAAGATTTTCCGGGTCTGACTTCCACTCCTAAGGCATAAACAGACATACGAGTCAAGGAGAGTTTATGTCTCTAATCATTTGTCGAGCAACATAAAATCGAAGCTTACCCCAGAAAGCCATGGTTTTCGAATCGAAAGCGAATATCTTAAAATCTCATAAACCCTAAACAGCTGCTTCCGGGAAAAGCTGAACCCTAAAACCTCATAAACCCCAAAAAGCAGACCAGAAGTCTATTGTCACTTCATTCCCATTTCGCGCCTTTATCTCGTTGGAAAGCGGAAGACTACGCTCTTTTATTTTTAAACTAGACGCCTTACCCCACGAGGCACAGGTGAACTAATAGTAGTTCAATCGTTAAAATTTGAATTTAAAAACACACATTAACCATATTTTTTTTAAATATGCCAAACATGCAAAATTGTTAAAATACTTATCAGAAATTATAATTATAAATCTCTGCGTCAATTCAAAATTGGTATATTGATATGTATTGTCTTCATTACGAATAGTATAAAAAACTATACTAGCTATGTTCAAGGTTTAGGATTGATGGATTTTGAAATATAAATGACGATGTGATAATACATATGTAATAAATTTAATACTCCTCCTGTTTTTAATATAAGATCCTTTTAACTAATTTGATTAGATTAAGGAAGTTAGGTAAGTTAGTTAATTATAAGAAAAGTGACGTATTTTTTCTAAAATACCATAATCATCTTTCTTAATACCCTATCTCCTTCTTCTATTTGATTATGGTTGAGAGAGTATCCATAGGGGTAATTTAGAGAAAATTGATAAATATGATAAATGGGTCTTATATTTAGGACTAGAACCAATTCAAGAATTGGGTCTTATATTAAGGATTGGAGGAGTATAATAATCATATGTGATGTTGACATATAATATCGTCAACTACTAAGATAATTATCTCTTGAAAAAACTATATTGTCACTATTATTTAATGAACACATGAATTACAAAAACACATCTTTCTTTCAATTCATAACATGTGTCACTTTAATTAGAACCAAGAAAAGGTAGTTATTATTTTCAAAATGATTTATATTTTGAATCATACCAAGAATGACTTATACCATATATTGGTGAGAGTATATGCTTGATACTATAGTCTATGTTCTAGATTTTAAATTTTTTTCTCTACGAGTAAAGAAACTATAGAGTCCTTGAACTATAGAAACTTTTGTCAATGTCCCCCTAAAAAACATCACTTATTACTAGTTGATTTATTTAAAGTATCACCTATTAGTATATTTTAACCTTAAGATATAGCTTTTTTACATAATAATCGTAAAAGTAAATTATATAGAACGTATAAATATAAAAATATATATTATTATTAACACGATCACAATATCAAATTCCACACCCTACCATAATTGAAACCAAATTCTATATCCCTTTCCGTCAAGGCTGGTTTGTACTTAACCTTTGAAGCCTCCTAAAGCTCTGCCCAAAAAAATTCATTAACGTATCTCTTCAGGTCACAATTAAATTGGTTAATAACAAATCTGTCTCAAAAAATTTCTCAATGATTAATCTTTTCCTTACCTAATATTCCTACCAATCAAATGGCCAAAAAATGTTTCTAGTTATCTCCTAAAGTTGAAAATATGGGCAAGTATTGCACGCCTAGAAAAATTGCAATTTGTGCTTGTTGAAATTATTCAGTAATCAAAGAAATAAGAAAAGACAAAAAATAGAGCAATCATTTGTTGATATTAGTTTTAAATGCTTGTGTGATTGAGCACTAAAAATCAATCTCTTCTACTAAGACTAGCAAATGATATAATTGAGTCATGACCTTGGACAAAGAAATAGGTTTCATTAATACCTACTTACAAATTAAACTCTTGAACCATCAACCAACAAAAGGCTATTCAAGTACAAATTGAGAAAACATACTCATAAGAAGAATGAATCACTCGATGGTGCTCTTTTGTATCTAATTATAAGGCAAAAATAAAAGATTTTCTTTATCATATTTATAAGTCATATCATTAAATTTTTAATATGAATGTACTATATATTTTGTTTTGCATTTCTTTTAGTGTAGATTTTTTTTTAAATGTACATATAATAGGGGTAAAATTAAAATTTGTTGTCTTTTAAAATAAAGTTAATGCAATTCAAAGTTTGTCTTGTGTGAAACATGTTGAATTATTGTCCCGTTGAAATTTAAATTTCGATAATCTAGATACCAAATACAGGGTAACACCAATAGTTAATTTCTCTTTCTTTCTTTTTTGCTAGGAACAACAATAGTTAATTTTATCATACTAATCAATCAATTAATGAATAAATGAATTAAGTCACAAGTATTCCTTCTATTTCTTATTATAGAGCATTTTCTAAAAGTAATTTTTAGTATAAAATAACTGTCATTTTTTAGTATTTAAGAATTAATTGCAGTGCCCTTTTATTAGGACAACAGGAAGTATTAAGTTTCACCATACACGTAGTCAAGTTAATATCCTAATTAGCAAAATACCACATAGGCCCCACAAGAATACAAACACACTGAAATTTAAACAATAAATAGAAGAATTTAAAAGGTTATGGCTCACCGAGCAAGGCAGCACACATTTAAATTGGGAAATGTAACCAACACACAAAGCACCCGCTTTCAAAAGACAATATTTTAAGAAGCACAATTAGAGATGGTTAGGATTTCAATGTAAAATAAATGCAAGGAACGTAGTTATTGATGACGTCGGAAGATAGAGTGGGAAGAGTTAAGGAGTACATACTCCATCCTATTCTTATTATAAACACTAAATAACTAATTTGCATATAATGAAAAATTAATTAAAATAAGTTAAAAATAATAAACATGTAAGAAATATATATTTTTAAATATTTTTTTATAATAAATGAGAAACATGATGAAAAAAAATATACAGGGATATGTAATAAGAGAGAGCGTGGCATAAGAGAGAGAATAAATAACTAAGACAAAACTGGATAAAGCATATTAAATGTTGAGACAAACTTCAACTAAAACTTATAAAACAAGCAAATATTGTATCCCTTTCCAAATTTAAAACTTAGAAATAAAATCAAAGGATTACTTGGAAAACCAACAACACACTGAACCCCTATGTGATCAACACAAAAGTGAAAACAAATTATTCTCACCAATATCAATGCATAAGATCTATCAATAAAGCACAATTAAGTTAGTAAATTATGAAAAGGTAGATTCTGTGGCACATTTACATGGATAATTTGGGGGATTAAGTGGACCAATCACATTAATTGTAGTTGTAAAGTACTCCTCTAATTCTATTTATATCAATGTTGACTTTGTTTATATGAGGTATAATATATTAAATAGAGATAAAGTTGAAAAGTTATTGAATTTTAAATGAGATTTAATGAAATTTAAGGTTTTCTTTGGTGTGTGTGAAATATGTTGGAAGTGACTTATAAATAAGACTAAAAGAGTAAGATATGGCAAAAATGGATTCTACCGATGCGCCTTTTTTGAAACCAAAAATATTTTTATAAGAAATTGAAATAAAGGGAGAATGACCAGGAAAAAAAAAGCTGAAAATTGCAAATCCCAAATCAGGTTTGGTAACATAACTTTATTTGATATTGACAAATCTAATTTGCAAATGAAAACAAATTTTTGTTAACATTCTTTGTTTGGCATTTACAAAATTCAGCTTCTTTTTTTGTCATTGTCTCTGAAATAAAATCTCCCTAATATTTCTCAACAATTTATCTAAAAACTTCTATTATCATTTTCACAACTATAAGTTACAAAATATGGCATCTTCATATATCCTTTATATATTTCTTAAAATATTGTTCAAGCCCACTCGGTAATAACCCATATAATTCAAAAATTGAGATTATAAGCTATTTAATTGGGTCCTCACTTTAATATATAAAATATGTAATACACCTATAGAGTTAATAAATTGAGGATACCTCGGTTGTTATTAAAAACAATTTGTTTTCCATGAAGCATTCATTATTTTTTTTCCCACTTATTCTCCTCGCACAACATAATTGTAAAACATAATGGGAAAATGACAAATAAAGACCCCTAAATTACCAAAATTATAAGGAGGTCACCTAATAAGCCAAATTACTAAGAAGGACCCGGTCTCAAATTGTAATTATGAAATCAGGCTAAAAAGACAGAAATGCCCTTTTTTTCTTTCTTCCATCACCCCATCTCTTTCTCTTTCCTTCTTCTTTTTCCCTTCGTCTTCGTCCTTCTCTCCCTCTTAATATTTAGTATTTATAGTTGTAAATAGTATCAATGTAGATCCATTTAATGTTCTAAAATTCATGACAAACCTCCTTACTAACTTATAATTTCACTTATCACAATTGTTATTTGGCTTTCCATTCTTGTCAATTGATTTTCATAACTTGTTATTCGCCTTACTCAACTTGTCATAAATTACATATCAGAAGTTGTCATCTGCTAAAGAAATATGAAAATTCTGTCATTTAAAAAGAGAAAATTAAATTTTTATGAATTGCTTATCAAAAGTTGTCATTCACCTTACTAAAATTGTCATTCGTCTTACTCAACTTGTCATTCGCCAAGGATGTTTAGTAAGGTGTATGACAACTTCTGATAAACAACTCATAGGAATTTAAGATTCTACGTTAAAATGACAATTTGCATAATTCCTTGGCAAATGACAAGTTTAGTAAGGTAAATGACAACCTCTTATAAGCATTTCATATGAATTTAATTTTCTCTTTTCAAGTGATAATTTCTAGATTTATTTAGCAGATAACAAGTTCTGATAAGCTATTTATGACAAGTTTAGTTAGGCAAATAACAATTTTAGTAAGGCAAATGATAACTTTTGATAAGCATTTCATACGAATTTAATTTTTTTTTGTTCAAATGACAGAATTTTCAGATTTCTTTAGTAGATGACAAATTCAGTAAGGCAAATGATAGAATGTTTGTGTTTCTGTCGCTGCATTTCTGCCACCACGTTTCTAATTAAGTGGACAACATTAAATAGCTCTACATTGTTATGATATAAAACTAATTAACAAAAAATGTTAACATTGCTCTACACAATATAAAAAGACCATAATTATCATATTGTCATGTGTTTCTATTACCGCATTGTTATCATAATAGTTAAAAGTTTGCATTAACAATACTGGCAAGCGAAATTACAACAATGGTGATTGTTACATTCCCTCCAATATATATAACTTCCCCTTCATCACTTGCTTC